GGATGCTGTCAGGCTGAAGAAGGAGTCCTATCGAGCCATGATGGTTCGGGGGACTCCTGAGGCAGCTGTCCAGTACCGGCAGGCCAAGCGTGCCGCGGCCCGGGCTGTTGCAGAGGCAAAAACCCGGGACTGGGAGGAGTTCGGAGAGTCCATGGAGCATGACTATCGGTCGGCCTCGAAGAGATTCTGGCAAACCATCCGGCGCCTCAGGAGGGGGAAGCAGTTCTTTGCCAACACCATGTACGGTGCGGGTGGAGAGCTGCTGACCTCGACTGGGGATATTGTCGGGCGGTGGAAGGAATACTTTGAGGTTCTCCTCAATCCCCCCGTCACGTCCTCTGTTACAGAGGCAGAGGCTGAGGATGTTGGGGCGGGTACATCCATCTCCCTGGCTGAGGTCACCAAGGTGGTTGGTAGCCTCCATGGTGGCAAGGCTCCGGGTGTGGATGAGATCCGCCCTGATTATCTAAAGTCTCTGGATGTTGTAGGACTGTCTTGGCTGACACGTCTCTGCAACATCGCGTGGCGATCGGGGGCAGTGCCAATGGAGTGGCAGACCGGGGTGGTGGTCCCTCTCTACAAGAAGGGGGACCGGAGGGTGTGTTCCAATTATCGTGGGATCACACTCCTCAGCCTCCCCGGTAAGGTCTACTCCAAGGTACTGGAGAGGAGGTTACGGCCGATGGTCGAATCTCGGATCCAGGAGGAGCAGTGTGGTTTTCGTCCCGGTCGCGGAACACTGGGCCAGCTCTATACTCTCCATCGGATACTCGAGGGTTCATGGGAGTTCGCCCAACCTGTCCACATGTGCTTTGTGGATTTGGAGAAGGCGTTCGACTGTGTTCCCCGGGGTGTCCTTTGGGGGGTTCTCCGGGAGTACGGGGTCGGAGGTCCTCTGCTGAGGGCCATCCGATCCCTGTATGACCGGAGCCAGAGCTGTGTTCGCATTGCCGGCAGTAAGTCAGACCTGTTCCCGGTGAATGTTGGCCTCCGACAGGGCTGCCCTTTGTCACCGGTTCTGTTCACTGTATTTATGGACAGAATATCTAGGCGCAGCCAAGGGTCGGAGGGGGTCCGGTTCGGAGACCACAGGATTTCATCTCTGCTGTTTGCGGACGATGTTGTCCTGTTGGCTCCAACGAACCAGGACCTGCAGCATGCACTGGGACGGTTTGCAGCCGAGTGTGAAGCGGCTGGAATGAGAATCAGCACCTCCAAATCCGAGGCCATGGTGCTCGACCGGAAAAAGGTGCCTTGCCCTCTGCAGGTGGGTGGAGAGGTCCTTCCTCAAGTGGAGGAGTTCAAGTATCTCGGGGTCTTGTTCACGAGTGAGGGAAGAATGGAGCGTGAGATTGACAGGCGGATCGGTGCAGCGTGCGCAGTTATGCGGTCGCTGTATCGGACCGTTGTGGTGAAGAGGGAGCTGAGCCGAAAGGCAAAGCTCTCGATTTACCGGTCAATCTTCGTTCCCTCCCTCACCTATGGTCGTGAGCTTTGGGTAATGACCGAAAGAACGAGATCGCGGATACAAGCGGTCGAAATGAGCTTCCTCCGCAGAGTGGCTGGGCGCTCCCTTAGAGATAGGGTAAGGAGCTCAGTCACACGGGAGGAGCTCGGAGTAGAACCGCTGCTTCTCCGCGTCGAGAGGAACCAGTTGAGGTGGCTCGGGCATCTGTTCCGGATGCTTCCTGGACGCCTCCCTGGGGAGGTGTTCCGGGCACGCCCCACCGGGAGGAGGCCCCGCGGAAGACCCAGGACACGCTGGAGGGACTATGTCTCTCAGCTGGCCTGGGAACGCCTTGGGGTCCCCCCGGACGAGCTGGAGGAAGTGTGTGTGGATAGGGAAGTCTGGGCGTCTCTGCTTAGACTGCTGCCCCCGCGACCCGGCAACGGATAAAGCGGAAGAAAATGGATGGATGGATGGATGGACAAAAAGATGTGGCAAGTTTGAGATCAGACGAAAAGTTTTTATCCACCAACTCGTGACTGCAGGTACAGTAGCTGTTGTAGCCTGTACAAGTTGACCGCTTGTGTCTAGTCGGCCCTCGGGGGCCCCCTGCCAGTTTGGGGGCCCCAGGCAGCTGCCTGCCTTGCCTGTTGACACGGGACGCCTCTACTGAGGAGATACCTGGAGGTACCATTTTTAATGGAAAAGTACCCACACTTGGCCGTGCCATGTGGTACCGTGCCGTACCGTGACTATGGAAAAGCGGCATTTGACTTCCTCATTAAAACTGCCTCATTTCTGAGACCTGTGGCTCATTGTGATAAATGTAGTACATATATACTCATGCAATATTGACTTTAACTGATAGCAATATCTCGACTCATAAAAAGACCTCAGACCACAGTTGGAAAACAAATCAGCTGAATTGGCTGTCTTATTATTATTGGAAAACATCTTTTCAATGAACTTGTTCCAACTTGTATAAAATAAACCCAATGTCTCTATTTGACTCTTTGGGCTGAGAGTTGATTGGCTAAGTGAGGGTGGTGGTCTCTGTTCTGTTGGAAAAAGCTGATCTAAAGACGTGACAGAGGCCCAACATACAGTAGGAAACTAGTAAAACTTAAATGGAACCAAACTGTTTTAGACCCGACTAGTGTCATGGGTTTTATGGTGAAAATAATTCACAAATCTGTTTCATAAGGTAAGTTGAATGAACCAGACTAGGTCCTGGTCAAAGTGTGAACCCGGCTATAGTTTCATTAGTTTATGGTTTGACAACTAGGCGCCCCAGCTTTAAGATAAGGCCCCCCACATGTATCTATCTCAGAGTTGGAAGTCTTAATGGTCTCCTCTCCGCAGCCGAAGCAGCAGTGTTGTTCCAGTTTTCAAAGTTCTTCCATGTGACCCGGCTTTATGTAATGACATGCTGCTGCAATGAGCTCAGCATTTATGGTCAAACCCAACTGATGTCACACTTTTGTAAGAACTGACAATTACCGTCTTATGAACAATGTGCATCAATACAAGGAGCGTTGGAAAAACTGGCTGTCATTTTAGGCAAGTAGATCCTGGTCCTTTAGTCCTGTAATTGGCAAATGGGGTCTTAAAAACGACCAAATCTATGTAATATCCTTCTAGTGGTTTTCAAAGTGGTCATCTTGAGGTCTTTTATTGTTACCATCATGGACTCACAACTCTTAAATGGAAAAATGATAAACACATTTTGGGCAGAATGTGGAATAGCAGTTAGAGCTTGTGTTTCACAGCAAGAAGGCCCTGGGTTCGATTCCACACTCAGGCCTTTCTATGTGGAGTTTGCATGTTCTCCCTGTGTCTGCGTAGGTTTCCTCATGGTGCTCCGGTTTCCCATTTAGACAGAGACGGTAAAACGGTAGAAGAGGATATCGGTTTGACGTCCTGTTTACATGAAGACATGAGGAGGGTGAAAACGCAAGGGTTTAACAGCCATATGAATTCTCTGCTGCCATGACCTCACCACTTCCTCGCACGCACATTTGGCACTAGCCGAGGGCAAACTTAAACAACAATGGCGGCGGGTAAATCAATGCTAACATGTGCTTTGCGCGCTACACAGAGGAGCATTGTACTCCTTCGTCCGTCCAAACGAAACCACGCAAAGCTCTAGTTTCAGTTTCCGTTTTTGCAGCTACTGTTAAATGATATTGGTGCATTCTTTCACGTCTTTGCTGTTGCCTGAGGAGGATGTTGTTGAGGAAGTGGTTCTACTGCTGGGGGTCACTTGTGTCGTACTGACCGGGTGGTAGAACTACGTACATTGTTTTCCGTCGCCAGGTAAACGCTGTGCACTTGGATAAGGAGCCTGGTTGTTTTTGCTAATTGCTTTGCAGCTTCTCCACAGTGTCTCTGTCTAAACAGTCTATGTTCTAAATGGGGCCTGAATGTAATGAGTAAGTGGATGGTGTTGGTCGGGGGCTTTGATGCTCCAGTGTGTTTGGTGTCTTGCTTCGTCATCACTGTGTGGAGAGAATGCAAAAATATCTGAAATGTCAAGCGTCCTTTCTTACATTTTTTTTTAAAACTGGAAACCACATTTTTATTTGTTTCATGTCTTTTCCTGTTTTTCTTTTCTGACCTATAAAGGACAAAACATTGTGGCTTTTAATTGTTCTCCGAAATTATTAACAGTCTTGTAAATTTAAATGATAAATACTCAAGATGCATGGACTTCCATGGTGTTCAGGAGTCATTCACTGAGTCCTTCACTTTACAGTTACGTAGTCTAAAATACAAGCAGACGCCAAAGATGCAGTGGTAGGTGTTCTCACTACACAACAGCGCTCTCTTGTGGTTGTAGCTTGTACCACAGGACCCAATACCAACACACACTCAACATTCTTTTTATTGTTTCATATATTGATGAACAAAATGCCCCTCTATATCACTCTCTTCCCATTAGAGGAGGATCACATGCTCAAAGAAAAATAAAAATACAAAAATATAAGTAATTGAATATAAAAAAGTTATGTAATGGAAAATAGTTATGTATTTACCTGTAATTGGGCATGAAGGCAGTATATTCACTTGTTTACTTTATTTCTGGTTTGGGACCTGTCTTCGTTAATATGGACTGAATTTGACGATTTTAAGGCAGATTGTATTTTTTATCTTTTATGCCAGTGGTTCTCAAACTGTTTACCCCAAGTACCACCTCAGAGAATACTTGCCTCTCCAAGTACCACCACAAATGACCATCACTATAAGGTAGCGTAGTAAGCTTAAGTATTCATCAAAAACAAGGCAGAGGATGTGAATGTTATTCTGGAGTGAGATCTTTGTCCACCAGAGGGTTTGGACACACTTTTGTTAATATAAAAAATAGATTTGAGAGTCTTTTCTCTTTATTTTGACCTACAAACATGCTATAATGTTGAGACTTGTATTCAATGGCCTCTCTTTTTTGACCAATTACTGTTTTCACCTTTTATTTGACTCTATTCCAGACATGATTTTGATCTTGGACTCTGACATAAACTAATTTGCTTGATTCTGCGTTCCAATTTCTCCTTAGAACACGCAGAGGTCCAGCAGCTCGGCCCTGTCCCAGTCCCAGTCCCAGTCTCTGGCCACCCCTGTGGTGTCTGTGAGTACACCCAGCCTCCCCGCCCAGGGCCTGCTCTACTCAGGCATGCCCAACTCCTACAACCCCACCGGTGAGTGCTCTGCAAACATTCTGACGAGGGCAGAATGCCAGCGACAGCGAATAACATTCTTTTCACGAATTGGATGTTTAAATTTGCACATTGGTGAACCCAACCTCTAGGTGGTTTATTATGTGTTGTTTGATTTTGTAATCTTCAAAAGTATTCAATATAAAAACAGAATATGAAAGCTGGATATGTCCCTCACAGACTGCTTCCTCATTTGTGTTTCTCAGACTACTCCCTCATCCCTGAACTCTCATGTGTCCGTCACAGACTGCTCCCTCATCCCTGAACTCTCATGTGTCCCTCACAGGCTTCTCGCTCATTCCTGACCCCTCTCATGTGTCCTTCACAGACTGCTCCCTCATTCCTGACCTCTCTTATGTTCTTCACAGACTGCTCCCTCATCCCTGACCCCTCTCATGTGTCCTTCACAGACTGCTCTCTCATCCCTGACCTCTCTTATGTTCTTCACAGACTGCTCCCTCATCCCTGACCCCTCTCATGTGTCCTTCACAGACTGCTCCCTCATCCCTGACCTCTCTTATGTTCTTCACAGACTGCTCCCTCATCCCTGACCCCTCTCATGTGTCCTTCACAGACTGCTCCCTCATCCCTGACCTCTCTTCTGTTCTTCACAGACTGCTCCCTCATCCCTGACCCCTCTCATGTGTCCTTCACAGACTGCTCTCTCATCCCTGACCTCTCTTATGTTCTTCACAGACTGCTCCCTCATCCCTGACCCCTCTCATGTGTCCTTCACAGACTGCTCCCTCATCCCTGACCTCTCTTATGTTCTTCACAGACTGCTCCCTCATCCCTGACCCCTCTCATGTGTCCTTCACAGACTGCTCTCTCATCCCTGACCTCTCTTATGTTCTTCACAGACTTCTCCCTCATCCCTGACCCCTCATATGTGTCCTTCACAGACTACTCCCTCAGCAGTGCTGACCTGTCCTCCCTCCAGGGCTTCGGCTCCCCAGGGCTGTCACTGAGCTCCGTGTCGGCATGGCAACAGCATCCTCTGGGCCAGGCGGCACTCAGCTCTCTCGTGTGAGTACCCCCCGTGTGTATGGGAGGGTTCAGAAAGCATTTTGCACAGGAGCAACTTCTCAGTAAAGGTGTAGATATTAGACCAGTAAAAAATGTTTCATTTAGTAAAGATATAAAGAACAAGCTTTTCCAAGTAAAATAAAGTAAAGTAAAATGCCTTATTGTTGAGTGTTTAATGGATAACATATACTGTATATTGAAGACAGCAAGACATTATTTAACTGTTAAATATCAATATGACAATAAAACACACTAACACAGCCTTCTCCCCTCACAGTGGCGGGGGTCACTTACCTCAGCCCTCTAACCTGTCGGTCAACACCAGCCAGGGCGTGTGCATCAAGTCAGAGCCGGTGTCTCCACCACGAGAGCACCACACCCCAAACTCCGGATTTGCCCTTCAACAGCACCACCAGCCCCACGCTCGCAGGCACCAGGAGGTGGGGCCACTGGGACGCTCTCCGGCAGACAGCCTGAGCTCCTCCTGCAGCTCGTACGACGGCAGCGACCGTGAGAGCCCGTCCGTCAAGAGGCTGCGCATAGACGCCTGGGTGACCTAAGGCAGGGGTGGCCACAGGGGCGGGGAGCTGGGCCCGAGCTGTTCATCCACACAGGGTTTCAGGTCTGTGTGAGAGGAGTGCGAATCACGGGCGCCAGCAGTGACGTCTCACGTGGCAACCAAAGGACCCAAGGAAAGAGATGTAGAGCTGTGTGAGGGACTAGAGAGAGCACGGGTTCTGTGGAAATTGTGGCGGCTATCTTGCGGTTGTGTTAAGGAAAAAGTCTCAAGAAAACATGGTCGAAATAATTATGTCCTAATCAAGCAGAGAATTATCTGTCTTGCTCCGTACGCAGTGCTAACTCAGAGAAGCATAGTTTCAGACACTTCTTTGCCATTTGGCTGCGGCGCTAACAGACGCTAACAATCGGAACGGGCGCTTGTGATCCCATTATATTTCAGTAAATCATTTAAATCAATAATGAGTAACATTTTTAAGTCACCAGAATATTATCATTCAAGGCGAGACACTACGGGCAGCGAGTCTTACTTGAAATTTGAGTGAGTACGATCAGCCCTACTTTTGCCTCTTTGCTGTTTCCATTTTGTAATGCAGAAATCAAAATTACTGTTCATTGTAAATCAACCAGCTGTCAGAGAATAAGCACTGGTTTTGAATAAGACAACATAATTACATTTCTGAATGTAAGGAATTATGCAAAATCATTTCTTTTTCACATTCTTTTTCAGCCTTCAACATTGTCCCTCTTGAAAAACAGACATGGTGCGTCCTCATTCATCCACTCTAATACCACAAAGTATCAATCAACTTTTATTTATATAGCACAGTATTGGCTCAAATCATCACAAACACATCCCCCCACCCTTTTTGTGGCCCCACAAGATATTCTGAACTTAAAGCGTTGATGGGAAGAATTTATCTTGGCTTGTTGTTTAAGATATTAAAGGTAACTCTCAAGAAAAAGAACATGATAATACATTTATTCTAAACATTGAACACAACATTTTTGGTTAAATTATTAATCCCGCCCTCAGTCTAACAGCCATAATCCTTCGATCAACTCGCTCTGACGTATCGTCCATAAGAAGATATCTCTGCATTATCTCATCTTGTAAGGCTTATTTTTCCATATTAATTGGAAAGTCCCACGAAAACGGCGCCACAGAGACATCCGAGACACAAGCCAAAGCCGAGGCCCCACTCTTGTACAGTTTTACTGAATGCACTGTTTATTTCCACTGTTTTTATGGATTTGTTTAACGCTGTTGTAAAAAATGTTACTACTAATACTGCAATCAAAAGCCATTGACCCTGCTGTACGACTGGACGCTGGAGCCAAACCTCACACCGGGATGTAAATAAAAAGTATAATTTTGAAATCCGATCAGGGTAATGACACTGCATTTCGCACAATTTCGACCATTCTTGGCACAAATCTCTCCTCTCCTCTGTTCATTCTCAGTTTTTTACCTATGTGCACTTCACCTGTGTGGCTTCAGGTGTAGTTTCAACATTATCGTTCTTTGAAATATATTTCTGTAGCAATAAAACATCCATATTTTTGTTTTGAACATGGAACCATGCCAATACATAGACAGGAGAATATGGACTAGACTTCTATAGGTTTCTATAGGATTTGCTTATCTCAGCATCAATGCGGGTCTTAAAGCTGGGATACCTATTTTTTTCCCCCTGATTAATCCATGCTGTATGTCCCAACAGAAAGAGTCTCGCAAAAAGTAAAGGGTTGTGAACCAATCAGTCCACGTTATTATGTTTGCATCTTATCTTTTGCATACTTGTAAGATCCCCAGGAGTCACTATTCGACTGAGTGACGGTGGTCCTGTCATTTACACTTTTCTGTCGTTGATCCACACATGCATGAAAATAAGTTTAGTGAGCGAGGAAAGTTTGGTACCCCAGCTTTAACTGGTAACAAGCTGCTCACCTCAAATTACTGAACATAGAGTACATACAATAGTTTTACTTCTAAGTTTCATATGCCCAGGAACCCACAATTCCTTTTATTTGGCGAAATCACAACACAGACTTTAGAAATGCCTTTTCTACATCACCTTTTTGCTTGTTTGATGTAGATACTATCCAGGTCACATTTTGGAATGATGTCACTATTTCATACTGCACACATTTCACTTTGACTTCATATTATTTGTATTCACACACACACATAATGAGCGACAACTCCAGCATCATTCTAAAACATACGTCACTGCTGGTTTTTACATGTGTAGAAGTCTGCCGGATGACTAGCTTGTCTACAGGTCCAGGATCATAAATAAAGTGTATAAGAATAGACCAGCTGTGCAAGGTCCTGGTTCTGCTCTTCTACAAATGTCCTTTCCTAGACTGTGGCACGGAGCCAGGGCCGGCCCTACCCAATAGGGCCCACTGACACTCGAGGGCTCCAAAGAAATCCCAACAAATAATGCAAATTGTTAGGTTGAATTCCTAAGAAAAAAATAGATTGACTATTACTCCATTTTTATTTTTTTCAAGGTGCAGACTATATATAATGTACAAAAAAAACCTTCATACTGTACATATAATTGTCCTAATCTTATCGAATCGCAGCAGTGACTCTAATATGGATTTGTATTCATTGTAAAGGGACTGGAAGCTCATTCATTTGATCTGACTGCTACTTCTGTTATATGAGTCCCCAGAAAACAGGCCAACATCTACAAATCCTTTTTGACATTTTCGGAAGAAATTTTTAAACTCGGGTCATTCATAATCCAAAAATAGGTTTACCGATTTGTTTAGTGATATTTGGCTCTGTTTGTATTTTATGTTTTTTTTTTTTATGTTTGGATGAAAGCAAATACAAATAAGAAGAGTTGTCATAATACAACGTTTCCAGCAAAACCCAAGCAGGTGGATTGCATCAGTAAACACTGCTTAGTAGCGTCACGTGTCACAGGCAGGAAAGTTCTGACAATGTTTGTGTTTTAATGAATTTATTACACCGCTAAGAGTGCATATAACAAACTGATCCTTTGAAAAAGTAAAGGGTTAGTTAGTTTCAATTTCTTCCCCTCTCATGTCTCAATGAGGTGCAGTGAAGAAGGCCCTTGATACCTATCATGCTCAGGGCCCCCCCAACACTAGCACGGCCCTATAAAGCTGTAAAAGAGAGGAGAGCGTACGCAGGAACTCAGAGGGAGCAAGACTTTTAACTTCTGTAGTATACAATAACACAAAGAAGGTAAATCATACACATACAAATGACTGTTCTCGTCATTCTTCAATGCGGCTGGAAAAGTACAAAAGCAATACTTTTAAATGTTCTTGGAGTTGTTCTATAGCTCCATTTGCACAAACTCATCCCCTCCTCGTCACAGAACACTCAGTGCTGAATCTATTCCACATCATTTCTACACATAAACATTAGGTCTGATATCATGAAAAGTAAATTGATTCAGGACCAACAAAATCAGGGAAGAGTATGCACCCTTATGTTTGCCTTAACTGCCCATAACACTGGTATTTAACCACCTACTGTATGTGCACAGGATTAAATATGGCCGCAATTGCCATAGCGACAGAAACCACGTCCTCTATCGTCCCTTATTTGGCTCTATAGTGATTGGTGGTCATCTCCTGCAAATGTCACCGCTTTGTCAGTATGGCATGATCTATAGAACATCTTAAAAACTTGGGAAGGAACTGTGGCACTTTTGCTTCATACACAGTAGTAGTATTTGAGGCTCAGTGAACGCATCGTATCCCAGTGTGCTGGTTCCTGTTGTCTTACATACTTCCTTTCTGTACTAGCAAAAACTAAAATTACTTAAATCGTTAAACAAGTTCAAGTTCCTCCCTGTCCATGTGATATCACTGGCCTTGTTTATCTCTCCAAAGTTGTACACAATACAAGAAAGTTGATAAAATATTTTACAGTTTTTTGCTGTCGGCGGCAAGTTTTACAGATAGTAAGTAAGTAATCTTTATTTATATACCGCCTTTCACAGACCAGAGTCACAAAGCGGTTTACAATTGTTTTATTTGGGCACTTGTCCTCTCACTCCACACAGAGATGGGAGCGGGGTCGCCGAACAGGAGGCGCATGCCAGACCTATTGTACATATTTTTAGTGGTAGGGGAAATCGGAGTACCCGGAGGAAACCTACGCAGACACGGGGAGAACATGCAAACTCCATTCAGAAAGGCCCTGGTCCGACCGGGATTTGAACCCAGGACCTAAAAGTGTTGTCTATTACACTTTATGTTAACGCACTTTTTTATAATATAATTTTTCTTCCTTTAAATCTCAGCTTACCTATTACAAATCGGCTCACTTGTGTTTTAAACTAGCCGTTGATCCCGTAGTGAGTAAAGGTGAGACCTGTGTGCCTTTCTGGGCTAGTATCAGCCTGTAACCACACTTATTACATCAAAATAAAGACCTACTCAAGACATTGACTGACCCAATATCATCAAACCGATATTCATTGCAACAACATTTACAATATCAGCGCTAGTATCAGCACACACATGTATTCTTATGTATTTGTAGCACACTGTTTTAAATTTTAACGTATTTAAGTTTCGATTTTTGAGTCATTTTGTACAGTAATGAGGCAGTACATTTCTTCTTTTCTTATGAATCTGTATCAAAGCCACAGCCAATCAGAGAACCAGAGACATCCTGTTGGGACAAATTATGTGTGCTACTTATAGAGAAAAAGAGAGGTGCCCCAGCTTTAACAAGACAGCAAGAGTACAGCAAGAAACATACCCCGCCAACACACACATCCCATCGACACACCACATAACAGCTCAACCCATGACAATGCACAATCCTTCTACAGGCACATGCATACACACTCACACACACACACACACATACACATTGCAATACCCCGTGTTGGCGGGAAAACGAGTCTGATGCCGTGGTGAGAAGACCTGTAGAATTTGAAAAATGTTTGTAGTTGTAAGTGAAAAGATCCTGGAGAAAATCTGGGACAAGTTTGGCGACACAAGCTGGACTTTGTTGCCAAAAATGTATATTATTATTATTATTAGAACTATTTCCCCTGACTTTGTTCTGTTGCTTTGCTTATGATAAATATTCAACTTTTTATGAAAGGATAGATATTGTTGTACAAAATTTGTATTCTTCACAAAAGTACATTGGCTTTGAAAAGGTGTATTTGTACTGTATACAGAAAGTACACGGCTCTTAGAATCTGTTCTGTGACGTTCCAAACGTAAATGAATTTATTAAATGACTGTGTAAGCGCACTGCCTTCTTTTCTTCTCTCACAATCACTTTTATTAGAGCTTCATAGGACCATGCTTTTGACATAATTCTGTCGTCAATAACCAGCTGTCATTCCACTCGAAATGGAAGGAACTACAATGAATCAGTGATTATGAATTGATTGAATGTTAGAATATGTATATAAAACAAGGAGATACAAAAGGTATAGTGTGTGTCTTTTGGGGTTATTGTTTGGATGTTAATACCCTGTGGTGTCGTTAAAAGTATAAATAACAACTGAATAGGAGTACCTCACTACAGTAAAGTTTAGAAGCCAAGCACCAACACAGAGCGCTGGACTACGGTGAAAACCAGAGGATGAATTGCCCTGCAGGAAAAAAATATAAATAAAACCTTTACATTATTCTAAGTTCAAGTTTAAATAATCACCATGAAAAAACAATGAGTAATGTGCTTTGCTTTCCTCTTCTTATGTGTACGTTCATCATCACATGGGTACAGTGCCAAACCCTAAGTGTACAAATGCTCTCAGAGAATGTAGAAGTTGATGATATCAATAGATTGAGAGACTCAATAAACTATATTCATATTTGACTGAAGAAGGATAATGCAGCTTTTGTACTCATGATGGATTTAGTCCTGACAACATGAACTCTCAGGACCTCTGCTGGGCATAAAGAGGAACTGCAGTAAGAGAATGTTATGTTTTTTTTTATTAGAAAGTTGTTACTGTAAGACTGGGAAATTTATAATTTGTACAGTCCACAGCCGCTTTCTTTCTTTCTTTATATATGGTTAACGGTCATGTGTCATTTTCATTATTTCATTATTCATTACTAGCTGTTAGAGCTATTTGTAGAAGTTCATTTGTTTAAGATATTTTTTTTGAGTTATTATGGCTTATTTAATAGAATTTAGGTCACAGGTTAACCAGGGCATTGGTGGGAGGGTGCCAGCATGAGGAAAGGCTGCAGGTTTTATGTTCGCCATTTGCTTGGGAAATAAACACACATAAAATGCACATTTTTAGTTGTACATTTTGTTTACTTTACATTGCAGCCAACTTGAAAATGCCTAAAGTGGCCTTTTGATTTGTTTTGGATAAGGTTTCACTCGGACAAATCGCTACTCCGCTATCATTTTTGTGTACTTTGTTGTGTCCTAATAAAATCACAAGATCACTAGAAATAAGTGAACCACAAAGTAGAAGGATCGGCAGTGTGAGATTGGGGTTTTATTCAAACAGCAGCTGTTAGAGGAAGTTTTGTTTTGTACAAGGAAGTTGTACAGAGCAAACAGTGTGCGCATGGAAATATATATTTAAATATTTAGATAAGCATCATGAAGGGGCGAGCTTTGTCATGAGAAAAAGAGGAGCATTTATTGTTCCAAAGATTCAATACACTCAGAATCCGGGGAACCCAAAGGGCTAGATGATTTGGACCATTTTGAGTGGCCCCCTAATGATTCTCAATTGTTATTGGTAAAAAGAAAGTAACCATACCATTGCCGGCACTTATTAATTCTTCATTCATTTTCATCCCCATTATTAGTCCTTTTTCAGAATTGGGCTACCCAATTCTAGCACAAGCCCCTCACTGATCCTCCTGCAGGTGGTGGGTCTATGGAAGGATGGCTGCTCTGTCAATGAGCCTTAGTCATCAGTGGGAGCAGATGACATAGGCCATGGGTCAACTGAGCCACTGTTGCCTCAACTGTAGGAAATTAGTGATACAAATAAATTAAAAAAAGGTCTATCGTCTACTATAATCTTTATTTGTCTTTGGTCCAGTTTTTGGGTCACTCCAAACAAAAATGAACTTACTGTATTTTGTTCAAAAATATCTCCCAAAAAATGATTTCCAAAAGACTTGCATCAAATCTCACATCAAAATATACACAATCTCAGTGAATCCACATCTTCTCTGGCAGAAACTGGTTGCCATGACGTGCTGCTATTCGCCCAGTGGGAAGAGGACCGGTGAGACTGGTCCGGTGAGTCAGAGCCAGTTCAACCACATGCACCAATCCCAGACAGTGACTGCTCCACAGGGCGTCACTGCAGAACGGACCAGGACCAAGCACCGAGTGACAAAAGAGTATCACTGCTCAGAGAAAGTGGAATTATTTTCATTTTAAATGCATAGAAAATATGTGAAATTATGTTTTTATCGGTGACTCTGGGGTAGATTTGTCCACAGGAACAGCCTGTGCTGAAACTGTTGTTATTGCTGGATAAAGAGACCAAAGAGGTAAGAAAGTATTTCTTGAGTTAAGTTATTTATGTATGTTTTTCTAGTTGATAGGGCATGACATGTTTTACTTAAACTTAAGCTAATTTTCTCACAAATGAGACACATACTGTATCTTCTGTGTTTGTTCTATTGGAAAATCTTTGAGTCAAAATATGTTTCAAAAGAACGTGTGTTTATACCACATATCAAGGATTTTGTAGAGTCAAGAAGTGAATCTTGACTATACACATTTTTTATAATTAGTTATACGTATACATATACTTGTACATGTATACATACAGGAGCTTTTTGTCCCTTGGTTTTAGAATGATGAGAAACTTGTATGGCGGGGTTAGTATTATGATAGCCTTGCACTAGCCATCCGAACACTCCGCAATTAGTACTGGTGTGGTACGACCAGGCTAGTATTATGAAGCAATAGGGAAGAAGTGTTTTTCATACAACAAAAACAACAGAACAAAGCGGATGTTTATGTTCTATTTCCAACAAAGTCTTTACATGTGTGTAGTGGAGTCATGAAATAATACTGTTACTATAAACAATTACCTATAAGTGCAATGAGGTGAGGGTAGTAAGAGTACTGTTCCACTGTCAGACTGTAGTAAGAGTACTGTTCTACTGTCAGACTGTAGTAAGAGTACTGTTCCACTGTCAGACTGTAGTAAGAGTACTGTTCTACTGTCAGACTGTAGTAAGAGTACTGTTCCACTGTCAGACTGTAGTAAGAGTACTGCTCCACTGTCAGACTGTGGTAAGAGTACTGTTCCACTGTCAGACTGTAGTAAGAGTACTGTTCCACTGTCAGACTGTAGTAAGAGTACTGTTCTACAGTCAGACTGTGGTAAGAGTGCTGTTACACTGTCAGACTGTGGTAAGAGTACTGTTCCACTGTCAGACTGTGGTAAGAGTACTGTTCCACTGTCAGACTGTAGTAAGAGTACTGTTCTACAGTCAGACTGTGGTAAGAGTACTGTTACACTGTCAGACTGTGGTAAGAGTACTGTTACACTGTCAGACTGTGGTAAGAGTACTGTTCCACTGTCAGACTGTGGTAAGAGTACTGTTACACTGTCAGAATGTAGTAAGAGTACTGTTACACTGTCAGACTGTAGTAAGAGTACTGTTACACTGTCAGACTGTGGTAAGAGTACTGTTACACTGTCAGACTGTAGTAAGAGTACTGTTACACTGTCAGACTGTAGTAAGAGTACTGTTCTACTGTCAGACTGTAGTAAGAGTACTGTTCCACTGTCAGACTGTAGTAAGAGTACTGCTCCACTGTCAGACTGTGGTAAGAGTACTGTTCCACTGTCAGACTGTAGTAAGAGTACTGTTCCACTGTCAGACTGTAGTAAGAGTACTGTTCTACAGTCAGACTGTGGTAAGAGTGCTGTTACACTGTCAGACTGTGGTAAGAGTACTGTTCCACTGTCAGACTGTGGTAAGAGTACTGTTCCACTGTCAGACTGTAGTAAGAGTACTGTTCTACAGTCAGACTGTGGTAAGAGTACTGTTACACTGTCAGACTGTGGTAAGAGTACTGTTACACTGTCAGACTGTGGTAAGAGTACTGTTCCACTGTCAGACTGTGGTAAGAGTACTGTTACACTGTCAGACTGTAGTAAGAGTACTGTTACACTGTCAGACTGTAGTAAGAGTACTGTTACACTGTCAGACTGTAGTAAGAGTACTGTTACACTGTCAGACTGTGGTAAGAGTACTGTTACACTGTCAGACTGTAGTAAGAGTACTGTTACACTGTCAGACTGTAGTAAGAGTACTGTTACACTGTCAGACTGTAGTAAGAGTACTGTTACACTGTCAGACTGTGGTAAGAGTACTGTTACACTGTCAGACTGTAGTAAGAGTACTGTTACACTGTCAGACTGTAGTAAGAGTACTGTTACACTGTCAGACTGTAGTAAGAGTACTGTTACACTGTCAGACTGTAGTAAGAGTACTGTTACACTGTCAGACTGTGGTAAGAGTACTGTTACACTGTCAGACTGTAGTAAGAGTACTGTTACACTGTCAGACTGTAGTAAGAGTACTGTTACACTGTCAGACTGTAGTAAGAGTACTGTTACACTGTCAGACTGTGGTAAGAGTACTGTTACACTGTCAGACTGTAGTAAGAGTACTGTTACACTGTCAGACTGTAGTAAGAGTACTGTTACACTGTCAGACTGTAGTAAGAGTACTGTTACACTGTCAGACTGTGGTAAGAGTACTGTTACACTGTCAGACTGTAGTAAGAGTACTGTTACACTGTCAGACTGTGGTAAGAGTACTGTTACACTGTCTCACTTTAAAGGAACACAACATTACAATGCTTCTCTTCTTTTGAAACATTTTTGGTACTAAATCATGTCTCTCAAGCAACATGGAATCCTTATAATGTAAAGTACTACAGTAAATGGTAACATGCAAGCAACCTTTGTTCCAAATTACAAATATGTCACACAAGTATGTTTCCTCTTATCTCATGTCAGTGGAATCTATTGTTATTAAATGCGCCGGAATGTTTACTTCCTGCTCCATGCTAATATGTGAGGGCATTTTTTCCTCATTCAAAATAATAATTTAGTTTTAGTGCTATGGCATTGACCACCCAGCAACGCTTTCATTAAGCTCCATGTTTAAAACATAAATAAAAGAAAGAAATAAGGACATTTAGATGATGAAGCGGTATTCTCCACCACAGACGTGTAAGTTCTTAAATTCATAGATTTAGTGTGTCTCATTAAATTCAATTAAATGTATTCTTTTATAGCCCTAAATCACAACAGTAGTTATCTCAGAGGACTTAAGAAAATCGTTGAATTCGCCGACACAGATCAGAGAATCAAACAGTTCAAACACAAGAAAAGCATTGATAAAAACACATAGAGCCATTGGTCCATAAAGAGCAGATGACCAATGTCCAGAAATAATTTTTTGGTCCATAATTAAAAAGTCCGCCAAATACCAAGAATGAAAACCAAATCTTCCAATTCAAGTCCAGATTACATATTGAGTTGATATTTACTCTGACATAATCTCTGTAACCACAGTGTTCCAAAATGGAGGAAAAGAAGAAGAACTGGCGACTCAAGCCCAAGTTTCCAAAACTGAAGAAACTCGGCAAGAAGAACCCTCCTAAACCACCTAAAAAGCTGACCTACAGACGCAGCATTTCTGTCCCCGACCTGCGCCATATCGCCAAATTTAGCGAAGAGACTGACTCTGTCTCCAACGAGGCTCCAAGTTTTGGTGTTTCTCCAATTCCCAGCGATTCGGACTCTACTTCCCTGAACGAAGGTCCAATCTTTATGGAAACAGCCCCTGAAACTCGCCTTCGAAATTCCGCAGAGACAAAGGCGCTATCCGGAAACCGAATCAGTGCCCCAGTTTTGGGTAATTTTGAGGATTTCGCAGATCTTCATAATCTACTTGCACGAGAGCAGATTTATGCGCAATCAGACAAAGACAAGCAGCCAAAGTATACGTTTGACCCAGTTCCAGCGCCAAGAACTGTGTATTCTAAGAACGCATCAAGCCAATTACCAAGAGCTGTGTTTGAGAGACAGCAATCCACCGAAAAACCTGCAAATGATGCAGATGAAGGAAGTACTCTGGCAGCAGTCATAGCTCGTGCTAGCTCCATGAGCGAACAAGTCAAGGACAAGTCTGACAGGAGATCTGAAAAAGGCACTCCGTCAGTGGTGAGGAGGAAGTGTCCAAGCGCCCTGGTGCTGGATAGCTTGGGACCACCAGTGGAAAGTGCGGACGGGACCTCACTGGGTTCTACCTCGCCCAGTGACGAGAGGCTTCCCTGGAATACCACCGACTCAGAGGAGCAGGACAGGGAGATGGTCACTCCTCCAGAGGGAAGTGACTTCTGTCTGGATGAAGAGGTGACGATGCTCTGTACCCAGCAGGAGGAATCAATGGAAGAAATGCCTGAGGTCAGTAGAAACGGGTTTCTTTTATTAACCAAAGCAAATCCTTATTCAGACACATGTGAGAGTTGTGGGAAAAAACTGAACAAGTATTTTCCCACGACAGGTCTCTCTGACAATCTACAAGTTTCTCTGATAGCATTTGAAGAATTGGAGGTAATAATGAAAGTCAGTTCATTTGAAATAACAAAATATTTCCTTTTTCCTGGGTTGGAACGGAGGAAAGGACACAAATGCTACTCATTTGCATAACATTAGATCAACATTTAATGTAAACTGTGACAGAGAGTAGGTAGATATAATGTTAAAATTACATAAGTACAGCACTTCAAAAAACCTTCTTAGTGGATTTGTATGACATCTTTCGGCACGGGCCTGTCACATACGCTGGTACATGGCATGTTTTGGAGACTAGGTCCATAACATCCTGTATATCGGAGGAATTTTTGAAAGCAGAACCTGGAGTCCCGATCTGAATCTGAATTCATGAGCTGTGACATGAAATTAATCTCCTACCGTTGAGGTGGTGATAAGGAGGAGTGAATATGCTGCAAATACTGTACCAATGCCGATCAGCAGGGGCACAGGTCTGTTGTATGGGAGGCACTGGACTGAAGGAGCAGAGATTATGCCCACCGGAGAAGCAGGATCCCAGTATCTTTTTGTTCAGCCCATTTCACAAGCCTTCCCGACTATGTTTATTTAACACAAGGCTCTGGAACCCACTAGACCAAATTTATTGGGGATGCGCTGAACTGGCAAGAAATTAGAGTCAATAAACTGGAAGCCTTGAATGCAGGATAATACTGGATTGCACAAACAGGCAAAGATCAATGAGGAGAAAGAGTAGAAGGAGCTGTCAATCATTAATGACTGCTGGATTTAAGAGCTTACAGAGGAGGAAGCATGGCAAAGCAGCAGCATGCCATTAACATGCAGAGACTGACGCTGTTGGACACAGTGAGAGATGGGATGTTAAAATGCTCTTTTGACATTTTTGAACCATTAGACCATCCATGTTAACTGTGACATCACATACATTTGTGTCCAAGGCGTAGTCACATTAAAGTAACAAACAATTATGTTTGCATTACTGCCATTTCTAATAGTATTCTTGTTGTAGCTGCCCAGTGAACCATTTGACTTCAATGAAGACAATCTGCCTGATATACCAGAAGACTCTGTGAGTTACTCTAAACTCTAAACACAAAAACATAACACTGTTTCCACATCAAAATAAACTTGGTGTTCTTTTGTTGTTGTTCATCTTGTTTTGGCAATCCATCCATTTCATCACAAAACAGAAATCATACTTCCCAGGACTGTATTGTTAGGTGTAAAAATCTGGACCATTCCTACTAAGTTTTGAAGTCCCTAAATCCTCTCCAGACGTGAAATATTTATTAGGGAAAATTGCATTGATTACAAACAGCTTTTAAGTACATCAGCTATTTTCAAAGCTTTTTTCCAGCTACCAGAAACAATCCAATGTTGTCCTATTTGATCAGAAAATCAACAATCTTTATATAATGTAACCTTTATCTGATCTTATCTTTACTGATTATTGTTGTTTGTTGGGGATCCCTAATAGCTTCCACCAGTGTGATTGCTAATCATCCTGGGGTTCCAGTTAAGACAAACGTATTACAGAAAAATACATCAATAAAATAGATCAATACATTTGTTCATTGCCATCATATTAAATACAGATGGATCGAATACAGACAAAATAAGTAAACAAATAACACAGGGTCTTATAAACCTCCGGTGAACACATAGTATACCAGAAATGTGTGATAAAAATATTCTTTTAGTGATATTTTATTTGGATAGAGTCAAAAGGTGCTTTACAATTGTTGTTGTTGTTCTCTCACTCCACACATTATATACATTACATTACATCACAACATTAAAACATAAGAAAAAAGACCTTTGCATCTCTTTCACCCCAGATTCAACACAGAGTGTTGTAAAAGAGAACAACAGTGTTGAGGCAGCAGCGTGGATCAAAAGCTCAAATGTGTGGATAAGACGTGTTCATTTTGCATCGCTGTCATATTCAATAGTTTAGTTATATAAAATACTGGTGCTTGTCTTGTCCCGTGCAGGTGTGTGCGGAGCCGCAGACCCCCGCCCCCTTCCAGAGGTACCTCCTCAACATCACCCTCAAACATGGACGTAACCTGGTCATCCGGGACAAACGCTCCGGTATGACTATCACACGTACTGGTAGTGGCTCAATAAGTACTTGTGAGCTGCAGAGAGTATACATAATCCTTTTTTCCGTTTTTTCTGTCTGCATCTGTTGCTTTATTTCTTAATCCTTTTCTTTTTATTATTATATTCATATTCAATAATTCATAATGATAATATAAAGCAGGCTCACATGTGCAGGCTCCACAGTGTGAGCCACTTCTTCAGACACTTGACCTGCTGTGACTCTAGAGACCAGAGAATGTGGTCGGACCAGTCTGACAGATGCTCTGTTGTGTTTTCAACTTTATTACATCAACTTTTACCTTACGCAACATTTCACGTAGAGGTAACTGAGCCATGCTCAAGTAACTGTCAAATACAGCGTTCTTCATGTGGGTCAACACCGTTTTTATCTCCTTATTTTTTACAGAGGTTGTAAATGTAAATGCATAAATTTGGAAAAAGATTGATATAATGATTATGGGCCCATACATTAAAGTCACAGACCTGGAGTTGTTTTAGATCCATCTCACCTTGTGCTGCAGGATGAAGTCTCAAAAGAATGTGATGGATATTTTTCTTATTTGCTTAATTTTAAAACAAAAGTATTGTCCACTAATTAGTTTTAGCAATGTATCCAGTAGAATGAGATAATTTCAATAATTTGCGAGAGAAGAAAAAATAATTCTATACCTCCGTCCAGACCAGGGGTGGTCCATTCTTTTCTTAAGGGTCCCGCATTGGTATATTGCCCTATCAAGGAGGGCCGGGTCGTTTTCATGTGGTTATTCTTTTAAATCACATTTAGCAAAAAGTGACTTTAAATGATTACTAACAATATTTTGGGTTCAACAAATAGATCTGAATAAATGTATAACATGCACATGTTAGCACATGTTAGGTTACAAGTCTTTATTGGGTATTGATTCATTTAATAAACAACAGACCAATATGAGGTTACGGTCTGGGAAGGGTCCAGGGGCCGCAAAGAATCTTTACCTCCCTCTGATGGTAGCATAGGGACAGAGCAGGCTGATGGCATTATTTACCCTTCATACTAGTTTCAGGAACTATGTCTCACAGCTGTCCTGGGAACGCCTTGGGGTTCTCCCAAATAAATGAAGCTGCACCTTGAGAAATGATTTGAATACATTCAAATGAATGGAACGGTCAAAATCAAAACAAATAATGACATGAAATGCAGAAAAGGTCACAATGTTAACTGACTGATTTTGGAGCTCAAGTGTTAAAAGACTGTAGAATAAATCAGTGGTTTGTATGAAATAGTCAGTTGCAAAAACTCAAGCTTGACCTTTGAGCAGACTGATGTCTGTAAAACACAGATACAGAATGTGTCTGCGGCATGAAGCCACTTCCGCCACTTTCTCTGAAATGTGATGCTTCATCTACTGGACGTTCGTTCTTACTCACTGAAGCTTCAGTGGCAGTGCACTGTGGGAAAGAAGGCTGCCCTCTAGTGTTGTAATGGTGGAATTACAGCCCAATTGTCTCACTACAGTGGATGTGATGCCACAGTTTTTCACATTATGTTTTAGTTATATCTTGCACACTAATTCTTCTAATACCAATATACTACACCGAATCATCATCTCTAATATTAGAGATGCAATGGTCTACACTGAAGTCACAGTTTGATACATATTTTACGTTTTTGATTCAATGTGGTTCATTTAATATGCTTAATATTCTTATATAAATAAACTTATATTTTTTCAGTGTTTTAATTTCAAATAATGATTATTTAATAATAAATAAATTAAAATAAACCTACACTATTACTCCAGGACAGTGCTCTTAATCAGTTTATCTCTCAAAATCAAATGTCAGATATTGAAAGGTATAAGCTTTTAATGTGCAGCATTTTTTTACTTCCGCCTCCGTCGAGCAAAGACGTGTCTCAGACGCTCCTGCTTCTGACTGCTTGCTATCTCCTGTTTTTGTCTTTTTCCTGGAGTTTTGCCACAGACAACTTTAACAAGAATGGAAATGATTAAGTGGTCCCTCAACGCAATTGATTCTATCTTTTCAACACGTAAGCGTGGGTCTGGAGAGCCCGTGTGCCCGGACGGGACTTCACCAGCGGGTTATACTCTTGACAGCTGGAACAAGTGGCAGCCCCTCTGTCTGTCGACCCTGTCCATTGAAGATTCGGAAGACGTATATATCTTTGGCATTTTGGTGGTGGGAATCCTCCTGTTTGGGCTTGGAGCGATTCTCTTCTACCACAAATTCGGAGGCATGGCAGTTCGCAAGATTCACGACTTGCTGGCCGACAAAATTGATGGGATGTACAAGGAGCTTAGCCGCGTCGTGGTTGAGAGTGCCGTGTCTGGACAAAGGAGAGTGGTTTTGGTGGAACAGTTGATCAAAGATCTCGCAGCTCGTTCACTCGATGGACATAAAACTCTGGAGTTGAGATTGAATGACATTGTGTGTCAGGCTTGAACTCTCTGACCCGGCTTGGATTTGCCCCTGTGTACGGGGTCTGAGGGCGCCGCAATTCGGTTTAATTGGATTTAATAGAATATCTGCCTGACATTGCATTTAATATTGTCCCCCTGAGTCCCCCTGAGTCGATGTGTTTTTCTCCTCCTGTGCCTTCTCTCCACTCTTATCTCACATTCCTCGGGCCAAGGCCATAATGACAAAGGTCCCATCTACAACAACTCACACTATTTCAGTCTCCAGCTTGGATCCCCTACCCCCGCCTCCCTCGATCCATCTTGCTCCCTCCCTCCCTTCCACTCCTCACTGTGTTTCCGACTCACCCCCTCCCTGACCCCGCCCCCCTCTGACAGCCACATTGGGCCGGCTGTAGGAGGTGCTTCATCCCGAGAAAAAATCCGTGCTTTATACAAAGCACAAATGTGTCTATCCAACTGTCTGTGAAACTGTATGTTATTGCTCTCTGCTGTTTATTCTACTGTTTGTCGCATGGCGCCGTAAAGATGGCGCCGTGGCAAGAGCTCTGGTGTGTGTCGTCTTCTCTGTCTGGTGCACACCGGGGTAGTCTTGCACAGTTTTCCAATGTGGTTTTACTGCAAATGGCAAATAAATGATTCTGATTCTGATTTGTGCTAGGTTAGGGGTTTTAAAACAAACGTTTGGGAACTTATCCAATGATGTTCTTCCCAAATGCATTCCTTGTTGAAATATATATACATTTTTACACTTTATTACATGGAGGTGTTTCACCACACAAGTCCTTTATGAATTCATATTTATCCATATAATTCTTACTTTAAGAAATGTTTTATCACACTAAAACATGGAATTATCCCCCATCATCACATTTAAGGGCCAAAATGAACACAAAAAATGCATCACATGTGTTTGTTAATTTTATTGGTTTGTTGGTTTCCGTTGCCGTTTGATTGTGTTTTTAAAAATTACTTTTTTTGAATTAAAAAGAAAAAATCTTGATGGGACCTCCATGTCCCTGCACCCTGAGCACGAACCTGCCCGTGACTGGCACATGACGCAGCCTCTTTCCTGTGTTTGCCCAACAGTCGCCCTGGTGCCAGAGACCCACCTCCCACCCCTTATACCTCCCATATTCCCTTTGTTCTCCCCCATTAATTCCCTCCATCAGTGTGGCGGTGGTGCCAGAGCTTTTTCTGCTCCTGTCAAGTTGCCTGAAGCTTTGGCTGTCATGGCGCCTGCGGGGTGGCTGTCATAGCGCCCGTGGGATGGGGCAGCCGCGGGTCACAGCTCCTCTGTGAGCGCTGGGTGGAGCGGGTGAGCTGACAGTCTGACAGCACCGTCCCCGCAGGGCTTTTGTGGTGCCATTCCAACATCCCCCGTGGACCTCCTCTAGGCTCCCCTCTCCTCCCTTTTCTTTGGGGCGATCTGGCCAAGGAAGGCCCGGTTAGCATCACCTCGGTGTAGTCCAGGACCTCGTAAAAACAACATCTGAAAGATTTTAAATGGCGTTAATAACAAATGTGATGCATTCATTTTGATGTAGTGAGTAAGATGACAAGTGGATTTCCAAACAGCTCAGTCCAAAACATATTTGTTTTTGTTGTTTTTATCAATAATTAATTTATTTTTAAAATACAAAAATAACACACACACATCATCACATGAAACAAACCCACTGTATGTAATATCTCTATTTCAAATATCATCTACATCTTTAATGTGTTCCCAAATAATAGGTCAAAATACAAATCATAATTGATATTTGCTGAACAAAAGTTTAACAAGAGTTATTCTTCATGAAAATGGACTGATGGAAAATATTCATGTCCACAGGTTGTTAAGTCACTTTAAGTCACTAATGACCTGCACTAGGACTGAAGAACCAGCACTGCTATTGTACATCAATATAACCTGCAAAGACCATCATTTAACTGAGTGATTCTATCTATGCCAAATGTGACTTGTACATTTCTCCATTGTGAGATCAATAAAGTTTATCTTATCTTTTTGTTTTCAACAAAAAATTTACAGCAAAAGAATCCACCCACATCCATTTGTTTAAATCATTGGTTTCCAACCTGTAGCTCCCCTTTTCCCCTTTTCTGGTAGCTCCTCAAAAGATTCAGAAGTTTGACACATTATATCTTGAGGCGTTGCATATCTAACGTGAGTAATATATTTCATTGTAGTTAAATTATGTATGCAATTTAACTATAACGAAACATAGTTTTGTCACTAAGAGTGCACAGTTGTGGCCATACCTGCATGAGAAAGCCAGATCCTGTCAGACCTCTGAAGCAAAGCAGGGCAGAGCTGGGCCGGCTGCAGCTGTAAAGTGCAAAACTGTTGTTGTGTCCTTAGGCAAGACACTTCAGCCACATGCCTGGAAAGAGTCTGGTGTGTGTATGTGTGTGTGTGTGTGTGTGAATCGTTGGTGGTGATCTGTGGGGCAGATGGCACATATTGGTTTCCTCGCTTCTGTCAGTGTGCCCCAAGGCAGCTGTGGCTGCAGTACTCGTTTATCACCACTTTGAATGAATTGATTGAATAATGACTTGTGAAGCCTCCAAAAAAAGAGCTTTATAAAACCAATTAAATATGATTAATTAATAATGAATTAAATGTATTTATTTTTATTAAGATTAAGAACCCATTTTTCATGGGAGAACAAATTGTCCCTTTGAGCTTGTTCAGTGTGTTGGTCCAGAGGTTGATGGTACTTTTCTGGGCAGCTCCACACAAACAATGTCAATAAACGTCACAAGCCACAAGACAGCAAGAGCGGGACTTCCAACTTGTGGCAGCTGTACGCCCTGCCAAGAGAACTCTTTGCTAAGCTATGTTGAGTCCGACCTGAGTGACGCCATTCATCATAGCGTCACACAAAAATAACATGACGAAGGTGTTTCTGCTTGTACGTTCCTGATTAACTTGGATGGAGCTAGCAAACTATAATGTAACTGGTTTGGGTTAGGCGATCGTTCTAAACTACTAAACCAAGATTGCTTTCTTTTGTCTAGTTCTAGTATCCCCCCAATGTTTGATTTACTGTTTTCTTACAGGAACCAGTGATCCTTATGTGAAGTTCAAACTGGAAGGAAAGCAATTCTACAAGAGCAAAGTGGTTTATAAGAACCTAAACCCACGCTGGAATGAGTCCTTCTCCCACGCGCTGAGGGACCGGGAGCACCTGGTGGAGCTCCGGGTTGGTTGGCACGACATACTCGACATCCACAACATACTTCACATTTGAAAGACTTTTTAAAGCTTTGAACAACATCAGAATCTGGTTTCTTATTTCACATAGTCTTCAGAAATAATATTCTGTGGGTCTTAGTGAAATCATCAAAAACGGCAGGCAGTAAATGAGTCAAAGTATGGAGTAGTTTTCGAGTTTTGAAGACAACTTAAAAGTGTTGAGAACAACAAATATGTCCAAAAAGTTATAGAATATTTCATAAAATGGCGGAAAAAGAGGCAAGTAGAGAGGGCGAGTATAAGTTGAAGAGTTTCAAATGTTCGCTGTTCAAAAGTATTTCCATACTAAATTGTCCGGCATTTAGAAGTTTCCTTGTGAACTGTTGACCTACTGATAGGGGGGAAAAATGTTGGAAAGTTTGAAGCATGATTAAGTTGTACCCACATTTTCCGTGTTTTGAACATCTCATAGATCACTGTTTATTCCACAATCTGGGAATGGAGAAAATATGGCACAACTGAAAATCACATGGATGCAGACCAAAGTTGCACTTTCTGGTCCAAACTTTCAGAATAATCCCCAAAAAGCAACATTCCAATTCGAAATCTTAATATTTTTAAGGCACTTGTATTCTTCATTCCTCTAGTAGTATGATCTCGCCATAGAACTGTTGTGCAAATTTGATTGGTGCAAAACTACTACTATTTACATTTGAAGAATCCCACCAACGACAGTCAAGATTGTGATTGTCTGCTTACAGGTGTATGATAAGAACCGCACTTCAGACGACTTCATGGGCTCCAGCTCAATTGACCTGAAAAACCTGGAGTTGTACAGGTGAGATAATAACACTAGTTTAAGTGACAATCCATTCCTATGTTCTACAACTGTGTTCTTCAGTTACCTCATACCATGTCTGATCTTTACTATGAAAACTTCCATTTATTTGTTCCATTCATTATACTATATTCTTAAGTTTTTCAATCCCAAATGAGCCAGCACAGCCATAAACAGCATTGAGGTCCATCGGGTCATAGTGGGAACAATGACATCACACTATTACAGAACTGAAACAGGAGTTTTTAGACAGAAGGGGCGGAGCCACATATTTGTGTGAGAAGTTCCTGATATTAACGTGCAAGGAGCTGAAAACATTTCTTGCTCTGGGAATGATGAGGAACAATGTTGTAATTTAATTCAATTTAATTTATTTTGTACAGCCCTAAATCACAACAGAAGTTATCCTGGAATTCTTTACAAAACAATTGATTCGCCAACACAGATCTGAGAATAAACAAAGGAAATGTAATGATAAAAAACATATAGATTAAGATTAGATTAAGAGATCCTTATTCCTTCCCACAGTGGGGAGGTTTCAGTGTTGCATCACAAATTACAGAACAGTAGGAGGAGCACACAGCACAAGATAAGTGAGCAATAACCTATAATAATTCAAATAAAACAAAATTAGAGCAGTTAGTCCTTAAGGGGTAAATGACCAATGTCCATAAATGTTAATTGATATTCATAAATGTTGTTGAATGACGAATGCCCTGGATTATCACCACTGTCCTTAGACCCTCCTGCATCTGCAAGGAAAAACACTCATAACCCAGAGGAACTGAGAAACCTCAAGGAGGCATATATTGAGGTTGTAGAACAGAGGCGTCAAACTGGTTCCAGAAAGGGTCGGTGTGGCTGCAGCCCTTTTAGGACCTGTTTGACACCTCTGGTTTAGAGCAAGGACTAAAGCGATGCAATGCAGGACTCAGGCAGCTTTCAGGCGGAGACAGGGGGCAGTCCATGAGTCAAAAGCTTGCATTAAAAGTCTGCATTATATGTTTCCTTTCAATTAAAAATTATGGCATTCTCATAAAATCAAATAAATCGGATGTCTGTATTTTCAAAATGCGCACTTTTGATGTTCATAATTGTTGTGTGGGTTGCAGAACCTATGAGCTGGAGCTGCCACTGCACGATCCCAAAAGCAAAGAGGCTGACATGGGTGTGCTCATAGCCGACGTGTGCCTCATGTTCCGGGACGCCACCATCAAAAGGAGCCCAGTAAGTGGCCCTCCAAACACCCTGCCCATAATCTTTTATTTTGTTCCATCAGTCTGAGTTTTGTCATTTCTGCTTTTTAAACAGCGCTGGCCACAAAAGAAGCACAAGGTAATAATTTGATTTAATAACAGTTCTCTCACGGCGGCACTTTTGTACAGCACTCCGGCAACTTTTCAACATCTATTGTTCCTTTTGTGACAATTCAGTACGAAGTTGGAGTAGAAACTGCAAAAACAGAATTATCTTATCAGGCTATAAACTATTTGATTTTATGTTATTATTGTAAAATATGTATTCTTATATTCAAGCTGAAATCTCATGGTCACCAACGCAAATACATGTATGCAAGTCACAAATTCAACTCATTTTTAGACTAAGTATTTTAATTTTTGCAGAAAAAGATGCAAATGTTTACAGATATATTTAATTTCTCATCCATCTCTTTCCGTTACATTATCACCATAATTTTCTTACCATTTTTATAAAGTTGTTATACTTTTATCCTTTTTATTAATACCACGAGAAAACTTTTCCAAAACTTCAGCAACAAAATCCTTTTTCCTGTTGTCTGCTCACTAAACTGAAGCCTGCTTCAAATCCTGGGAAGACATGGACCCAGTCACCATTGTTCTGTCTGTGTCCATCAATATAGTCTGTGACTCTCCATCTATGGATAATAAGAAACCTTGAGCGCATTGAAGCCATATAAATATGGAAGTGCTCATGGACAAAGTGCACTTCTCTATTGGAGTGTCACACTCACCATTTTTGTGTCGTGTCGTGCTCTCTATAATGTTTATATCTCAAAATGGTCTTTGCAAATCCAGGAGCCATACAGTACAAGGATGAGATGTCTTTATTCATTAATATTATTACAACTACAACTACTTGTCGAAAAATATATATTTTTCAGATCTGTTTTTGACAAGGAACAATGTTGCAACATGCCTAAATACTGAAGTAAAGGATATAATTTATGACTTTTTATGACAGTGTCACTGTTGCAGTCTGAAGATTCCTCATTGCAAAATGAGTTTGAAAACCTACTGCAAATGCAGTTTCAATACATACTTACAATTAATAATTAAAAGTTTCACAACGTGTCGATGTTTTTACAATTTCTAGATATTTGTAACTTTATCTACAATCCTTCAACATGGATGATTTTTTGGATGAGTACACAAAATCGTAAAAACTTTTAACAAACGTCTCTGGATTTCCTTTTTTGCTATTTTTTTTTGTCATGTTATTTCTGGGTGTTAGCACTGGGGGGCAGTGTCTGCCCGTATAATGACACAACAAAGCCTTTCAATACGATCTCCTTTTGTGAGCTACACGTGCCGTCGAATTGACTGCCTCTGTTCTCAAACACATTTTTATCACTTTGTTGCAAGATCTCCCTCATTGTTTTCTAATTGTGTAACATTACCTAATGTACAATACCCTGGACAGCAGGTTTAAAGTCTGCAAAGAATTAATAAGAATTAGCATTTACAAGACAGGTAAATGTCACACCGTTATTTAGAATAAGCTTAATGACAGCACTGATTATCTTCAAACCATTTCTTTAGTCTAATAATAGTGAGCCAATAAAAACTTCAAAAAAATCCAGAAATTACACTTAAATTGCCATTTATTTTAACCATTCACTTTTTTTAAACATGTTTTAATATTCATTAACTTTGCACAATTCTCAAATGAAACACAGATTTTGCAGCATGGCATAATCACATTTAGTTTCAAATCTATTCTAACATAATTGTAATATTATGTAATTATGAGGGCAATAAAGGCAAGCAAAACAGGACTGCATATGTTTCATTATTGAGCTGAAATACCTGGGGGAATCTATGCATGGAGTGAATATTAGTCACACAAAACACAAATCTTCCCTTTATTGAATGGTAAATGGAAAACCCCTGTTGAAATAAAGCCACAAGAAGCAAAGGAGGGTCACATTCAACATGTAGAAGGAGGTGCTGAGTCAAAAGAGACCAAAATAGAACTTTTTGGCCCAAATCCAAATTGTTATGAATGGCTCAAAACAAACACTTCTCAGCGCCCTCAGTGCACCATCCGCAGAGTCAAAAATGGGGGTGGCAGCATCTTGTTATGGGGCTGCTTTACTTAGCAGGGACAGTGAAGTGCAGTGAACTCATGCTGTAGGATAGGGCTGAAAACTATATCACATTATGAGTGAATCATATCGGTCGATATCAATAATTATTGATTGTTTATTTAAAAAAAAACCTAAATTAATACATTTGTCGCTAACACACGTTAGCAGCCCTTGTTTTCAGCCACGGGGGAATGAGAATGAGGGGACTGACGTGCATAACCTTTGACACGGCATTGAAACACAATCTATAGATCCATGGACACTACGCATGGTGCGGCCATAGACTGTTGCGGTTTCCCAGAATGTTTTACGGTTCATGCTCGGCCGTGATAGGTCGAGAAGCTTCTGCCTACGTCCCCCAGAATGCTGCGTGCTTCTTGGCTCTACTTTCTGTGTTTTCGTCCTGTTTTTTCTAACGGAGTGAAGTTAAACTATCGACCCCATTTTTTATTAATATCGAACACGTGTCTATCACGATATATATATCGTTATTGTTTTATCGCCCAGCCCTACTGTAGAATTACGTACAGGCCTTACATTTCAGTTTTAATAAAAGCATGAGTCAGTTTGCCTTTGCGTCTTTTACTTGTGAACTTGTTTATAGTTGTGCACATGACAAAATGTTCAACATTTTAATGTATATATTAGTTTCACATTGTAAGTTGAAGTACAGAAGTAAATAGACTTTTGAACAATATTCTACTTTCATGAGTTTCACCTGTAGAGTTAATAAAAATAATGCATCGGTTTTATATAGCACTTATTTGGACACTCAAAGACGCTTCATGTAATTACTCTTCAAATTCCTACAAACTACCACTACTGTAGCCACAGCTGCCCTGGGGCACACTGGCAGGAGTGAGGCAACTGTGTTATGTGCCATCGGCCTCTTCCACCACCGCCACCAATCATTCATCCACATACCAGGCTCATTCTATCACCAGAGGGAGGAGTTGCATTTGTTCTACCTTTTTCCAACCTTTGAATTTTACCAACTGAATAACCGTCCTGTGATTGTAAAGAATATAATTTCACTTTAGATTGAATTTAGAACACATTTTTGGGCGGTACTTTGTGTGTGATGTCATAATACAATTACATCATACTACAGTATTACCGAAGCTTTTAGACAGATGGGGCGGAGTTACATGCTTGCGCCAGAAGTTCCTGATATTGGCCTGGATGGATCTAAAAACAACTCTAGGTTCGTGTCTGATGACAGAAACATTAGGTAACATTTAAAGAAGCTATACCCGATTTTTTATGCTTTTTTAAGCATTTTTATGAAGTAGTTCATAAAAATGCTTTTTACTACATACAAGTTGTATCATAATACATCATTTAATTGAAAACTTGAGGTAATTGATTCAGCTGTGTAAGAATTACAAGCAGTGAAAAGTGCTGAGTAGAGTCTGAGCGGGCCGCTCTTTCTCCTCCTCTCACACAACGAGCAGCGAACAGCCTGCGTCCTCTAGCCCCTACAGCGCTGCTTAACACCAGGACTTCCACTTCAAAATTCAAATATAATTCTAAAATAAAAAATGATGAACAACATAATTGAATAAAAAAATTTGAACAAATATTAGACAACCCTTGTAATTCGAAATGTATTTAATGACTGCAAATAAAATAGTTAGCTCCCAAATGTTTCACCGGGACATGCTAGGCAGGTAACAGCTAAGCTAGCTAGTTGTTTCATGGTAACTTCCGGGTTTTTCGCAATCGCTTTTTGTCACATTGAAACAGTATTTTTGTCATGAAAAAGTTAACGGCAAATTCTGAAATCGTCCGTGCATGTGTGTTAAGGATGTATATGTGTACTGTATTGTCCGATTGACGTTTAATGGTGTTGATTGATTGATATGTAGTTGTTTATTGAGCGTGGCTAGCTCCGCTAGCTCCGTTGGCTTCTCTACACAGACGAGTGATAGTGACAGGTGCTGATAGCTTGTTGTACTTGCAGAGCAATGGCAGTATTTTACACACCTGAATTACAAACGGAGGTGGCATTGGGGCTTCGGTCATTATTAGTTTGAGAGTTCTGTTATCAAGAAAAAATTATCAGAAGAATTGCTGCTGCTGCTTTGAGGAGCTCTATAACAAATTATAATTAAATATTAGAATATATTTTAAGGTTTTAAATTAATACATTCGGACGCAAAACTAGCGGTATTCTTTTACTTATATATTGTGTTAGCAGTGCGTTGCTTTTGTACCATTTCATCAGTGATTGTTGCACAGCTTACAAGAAGTTGCGCTAATGCTAATGTTAGCATATGTATCAGATCTAGATCTAAAACTAGATGGCTCTGTGTTATGAGAGCGTAGGGGAAATGAGAAGCCATTGAGCGAGTTGGGGGGCGGTGCTAAACATTCAAACATTGCAGAAACGGGTATAGCGCCTTTAATGGCTCAAAAATGTACATTATGCATAATTTGTCTCCTTCAGAAAAATATTACTCTAAAATGGTTTTGGAAATGTGAAATTATAGATGTTTTCTATTATACAAATAGATTTCCCACTTCTATTACTATGTAGAACTTAATTTTTTGTTAAATAAAGAATACTGTACATGTTGATAAGTAAGATGTTGTGAACCAATCAGACAGCGGCACGTCGAGTGGTCCTCTCTTTTCACTTTTCTCTCTGAAAAAGTTCTTACAACTAAAAAGATGTGAGAACTTCCAAAAATGCATGCATCTGAAAACGAGTGATGGGATAGTTTTAGGGTTAGGAACTAGTGAAATGAATTTTATGACAAATTTTTCATGTTAAACTTTAACAAATGATTTCACATCACATGGCCAAAATGAACACAAATAAATCCTCACTTAGCACTGTTCCCGCGGTGCACAACACGTTTGCTTTGGTCCGTGGCGTGCACAAACTCCTTCTATTTTGTTTCTTTTGCGATGCTCTGCAGTCTAATGAGATGCAGAGTGAAAGAAGCGTTGTGCTGTTTGGGATGGCAGCGCGTGGGCTTCGCTTCACACCTTTGGACCCACCACAGCTGTCACCGCGCGTCTCCTTCCGGACCGCGTTTCATATTAGCCCACAAAAGAACTGAGCCGTTTTTTTTCCTTCTCCCCAAATATGCGCACTGGGTCTGCAGATGGTTCTAGCCCGCCGCGGCCTGCTGGTGAAAATGAGCCGCCATATTAATATGACAAACAATGCAGCCATTTTTGGAATATAATTTTTAAGCGTTTAACACTTTTTTCTCTTTCTGGGACTTGCACAGCGCGCGCCCACTTCTCACTTACTCAACTTAATTATGTACACACACAAATAAAGAAATACTGACCCCATTCAAAGGGCACAAATTCTCCACAATCAACTTTTTGGAGTTTTTGACCACAATGACCATGATTAGGAACACCATGTTGTTCTTAATCAAAAACAGAAGTTTTGACTTTCCAGGTAAAAAGCAAATGGTGAATAGCTTAGAAAATAAAAAAAAATCCAAGGCACTCGTGGTCAGTGGTTTAGAAATTTTTAAAAAGCCTTTATTTACTCATGGCTGTGGATTAAAATACGCACCAATGCGTTTCAGCCCAGCTTGGCCTTCTTCAGGGTGCAAATGGTGGCACCAGTGACCATGTGATTTATATAGGGAGGGGCTTCATTATGCCCTCCTCTAAACACGCACCGGTGCATTTATCAGGAATACAATGCACACAAAAAAAAGCGAAATGAACACATATTTACAATTATATATAATATATATATATATATATATATATATATATATATATATATATATATATATATATATATATATATATATATATATATATATATGTATGTATATAAATATATATAAATAAATATATAATATATATATATACACACAATTATATACATACTCATACACTGGAAGTGTAGAGGTAATATCTGTAAAACAGGTAATAGAGCAGATAATCTAGAGGGCACAGGCTTCCTACTGTACACACTGTTCCACAAATTCAAAAAAAAAAAAAACCTCTCATAAATAACATTACACATACACGTACACATTCAAAGGAATGGTGAAAAGTCAATTTCGTCATTGAGTCCAGGAAAGGAGCAGACCTGGAGTTGTTTTTAGCCACGTTCATGCATCTGAAATGTTCAGCACAAACTGGCCCCCTCTAGGAGTGTTTCCCAACTAGGATACACAATGGTATTGCAGGGGTTACTTGAAATGATTGAGTATAATGAGTATTCATAATAACTTGCAAGCATTGATAGAAAGGTGTATATGTGCCACCTACCTATGCTCCCCCGGCAGTAAGTTACTTATGTTCCAAAATTTACCATGAGTGTGGTGCATACATGAGTGGTGGTAGTTGGAAGGGTTGATGCCTCATACTGGGCAGCTGTGACACTTGACTTCCGGTGCGCGGGGATCGCCTCCACGCGACTGTCAAATGCCTGAGACGTTTGCAGAGATCCGGTCATTTATCAAACTAAAGTATTGTTTATTGGGCAGTCTAGTGAATGAGGAGAGTTGAGGAGCACTTTCGAAGACAACACACTGTCTTCCGAAGGCTTACGTAGAATCCTGGACTCCAACTTATGATCTCAACACTCGATGGCAGTATAAGATACACAGTGTACCTTTAAGGCCAACATTAAAAGAAAGAATACATAATGGTTGTTCAGTAAACAGTCAGACAGTTCAAAGACAGGAGGTCAGTGGAGAGGGCTGCTTGTCTGGGCTAGTGCCAGGGCAGAGGAAATGCTTGGTGGTTGCCAGGGATAACAAGGCAATAACCCAGATGTGAGTGTGTGAAAGGACAGGTGTGGATGGACAGGGCCGCGGTGCCAGCCAAATGAAGCCAGGACTAAACTCATTCACCGGTCCCTGCACGCTCTGGACATATGGAAGCCATCGCAACTCCGCTTTAGTGAGAACAAATACGCTCTCTTCGGGGAGCTCTTAAAGTTAAGTGGGAGTGTAATGTTGGCTGTGTCCAACGTAAACTGCACTGCAAAAACTGAGTTGTTATTCTCAAATGACTCGCAATTTAGTTAGCTTGGTCAGATTGACATGTTTTTAGTGTCCGGTTTGAAGAACTTTGGGAATAGTAAGAAAAGACGTAAAGCAGACATGTAATGCAAAAGTATCTTTTGGAGTTTTGAATCGTTTGAGTTAAAAGGCGGTGTATGGTTGTTGTAACAGACATAATAGGGGGACACTCGATTCTAATGGAGTACTACAAAATATTTCTCAACAGAGTCTTCATTTCGGGGCATTTTTGGAACAAAATAACAGGAGATATTGCTGCGTTTCATTGCATTTTTCACTGTGTTGTGTATATACCCGGCCGACTGCACCGCCAGCGTATATCACGTCCGGTCCTGTCCCATGTATGTCATTCGCGGCACTGCCTCAACGTCATATGAAACCCAAGAATATATTGTAGAGTATGTTAATCAGGAAGAGATTCTCTGCCAGAACATTTGAATCTGAATCATGATGAATATTCACCTACAACACAACACTGCTCTGTGTTTGATGCCAATTAAAACTTGTTGTGTCAATACAACATATGGACGCCAGCACCGAACCTGTTTACTTCACTCTTATTATGAGAAAAGATTCACACATTTATTAACAATAGTTTGGTAGAACATGGACAGTACAAATGGGAAAAGTCCAATTACCAATGTGTCTGCTCTAGACAACGTTAACCTGCTAGCGGTAAGAAGCCTAATAAGGAAGTCGCCTTGGATCGATTCGTAACGAACCTCCTCTTGGTCCGAATCTGTTTGTGTCACACTCACTATTTTGGGCTTGAAATATGTGGTTAAGCATTATGTATGATCCTGGTGTTTGCATTTTGATATTGTGTTTCTGTCCCCGCACTCGTCTTTAGAGACTTAATAGCTCAAGTGGGGAGAAACCAGCGCCACTCCTGATTGCCTTTTTTCTATGTTCTGGATGTAGGATTTTTTTAATGTAGATTATTTTCTCACCAAGTCACAGCCCTCTACTCACAGCTGACAGCCTTTGCAAATACGCAGGTTCTCTTCTGTACAGTATGAGGAGGGGGAGATGAGGCATCAGCAGATGTGGGTCCAATGGGATTAGAACAACTAGTCAAATTCTCTACAAACACAACACTATAAAAAGTGGTTGCCTCACCACATCTTTAAATCTAATCCCTCAAAAATCTCAAAATGATACAAAAATATATTACAAAAAATTGAATCTCACATTTGAAGTGATACATGAGTACTACTGAATGATTGAATCACATCAAGTCCCTGCAGGCTCCCCTCAGACCAAAGATGCAGTTATCAATCAGTGTATCATCAATTTTGTAAATAAAAATGTGTGAACAAAGCCTGTTGCATGGAATAATCCTTTCATGGAGTTATTATAACTTTTCCTCGCTCCTCCTTTTCGCTCTGCAGCCACATTTAGCAAAAACACTTATATTATCATCTTTAAAATTTGACCAGAATGAACACGCTGAACCTTTTTAGAACCCATCTTAAATGCCCTCCTCCATGAATGATTTGGAATAGTTGGTGAACCTTGCAGTCGGCATATGTAAACTTTAGCTGTTAGCGCTAACGCTACCTATGCATTACTTTGCATCAGAACTGCGCTTATACTTGACTAATAAGCACATGTCATATCTTCTGGAAACGGCTTCTGTACTAATACTTGCTAACAGTATCTGAGTCGTTTATAGGATGCACCGATACAAACAAACATGAATGACTTTTAAAAGTGTGAGTGTGTAAACGTCAAGCCAAGGTACACAAGAAGGTATATACCCAAATCATACTAGTAAGTAAGTAAGTAAGTAAGTAATGTTTATTTATATACCGCCTTTCACAGACCAGAGTCACAAAGCGGTTTACAATTGTTATTTTTGGGCACTTGTCCTCTCACTCCACACAAAGATGGGAGCAGGGTCGCCGAAAAGGAGGCGCATGCCAGACCTATTGTACATATTTTTAAATACATATTTTACAACAAGCATAAATGATCACAGAGTATTTATTCATTGCGCTGCGACAGGTCTTCCTCGTCCACATTAATTAAAGGCGCGATCAATTCCCCCTGAAAATTATTTGGGATTTTGTAGAATGGCAGCGTAAAATGAGCCTGCACACTAGTATCTTTGGTACAATGACAACGACTGTGATAGACATCATCAAAAAGGATTTGGGTACAAACCCAAAGACTGCTACATAGTGGTACAAAAAAAACCTGTTGGGAATATTGGTCCTGGTACTCTGCTCATGTTTAGTGGATGTGTCCCACTCAAGGCTAGATTTCACCAATTATGATACTTATAGGCTTATACATATCACTTATCCTATACATAGTTCCCACAGACCAATGAATGTCACATGACCTCCTCGGAGACGCCATCTTTGATGGCACGCTGCTGTGTTTGTGCATTCCATTAAACAGAAGAATGAGAATAAATGTAGATATTCAAACGCAAATTGGAAAAAAAGGCCAACTTTTGAGCAAATAATTGTATATTAATACAATGGCACCACAGTTTAACGTGCTACGGACATGTTTTACATATTTGATCAAATTATGCAGCAAAAATTAACAAGCAATGCAAACATTTCTCAAAAACTTTAGATTTAATACCAGTTGGAGCTCCATTTAATTATTTTAATTATATTAACAATTCATTTAATTAATGCTAATGCCACACGGACACTCTGGATTGCTGTTATTGTTTATTTCCGCGTTTTTGACCGTATGTTTTGGTGAATGGTGGGCAACTGATTTTTCCAGGCGTAAAGAGCAGTTTATTTTATGACACAGATCTTTTTACAGAAGCAATGCTGTTTGTGAACATTGTTTTAGCCCACCATAGAACTATTATTATCTATTTAATACATTTACGTTGCCCTCGAGAGCCTCGGACGCGACACCGATCCTCCTCATAATAAAGTAATCTAACGCTAAATAATGAAACTCTCAATTTACCAGATATCAGCATACACAAGTTAGTACTGAGTAAATTACGTCTGTCAACACATTATGAGATACGATACGCACCTGACACAAAGTGCTCCGAGCATATTCTTGCGTGTTTTGAG